TATTTCTGTGTTTAAATATGTTGACAGTCACCTGAAGTTTTAAAGCGCTTTAAACACAAAAATATCAAAAGCATCAGTGTTACAATTTAATACAATATCCATCTACCAATGGAAAATAACTAAATACGTTTACTGAAGTAATACCTGGTAATACTTTATGTTAGTACTATTTATTCTACTTTACATGTGTACTTCAATACTAGACTTTTCCTTCCACTAAACTTATTTCACAACTACTTTATATTTTTATTATTTATATGCAGTGTAAGAAATGTGTTGTCTTTGTGGTTTAAAACTCTGCATATTCACAGACATGCAAACCAGACCACATTTCCCCTGTTTCGGCTCCTTCACACTGGCTCCCAGCGCGTCATAGATTTCATTGTTGGTTTTTAAGTCACTGGATGGGTTAGCCCTGCCTCACCTTTCTGGTTTTTAAACTATGCACACTCCCAAAAGATCATTGTTGTCAGCTGGCTGGATGCTTCTGGCCTTTACTGAGAAACAGATTAAGGTATAGAGGACATCGGGCCTTTGTTGTAGCGACACTGAACTCTGGGACAGTTAAGCGCCTTGAGGCGACTTTTGTTGTGATTTGGCGCTATATAAATAAAATTGAATTGAATTGAATTGAATTGAATTGACCTCACCAACCACCACCTCACCATCGACATCTTCAAACCCTGTTTGAAAAATCATTTTCATGTGAAGCTGAGTCTTTACAAACTTATCGTGTTTTTGCTTGTGTTGTTTGTTATTCTTTCAGTTTTACAAAACATGACTCGATGTGTGAAGTTCGACCTGGTGACCCTGACCTTTGGGGCTCCCCTCACTGGGAACATTGTTTTTTGTTTTTTGTTTTAATTTAATTACATTTCTCTGATATTATTTTTATATTTTCACTCACAAATACAACATTTACATACATATTTTACACTCTGGTATTGTTACTTTCACTGAAGTAAATGATCTTCTTTTACCACTGGACAACAATTCAGACTGGGATTGTTACAGTTACACAAAACAGTCACGATCACACACAGTAAACAACAAAGTCAACATTTATCAGATAAACAAGCAAGTAAGAATTTTTTTGAAGCAACTTGCAGCACAAACCAGTTTCTTTACTTTTAAAACTTGAATGTGTTCCTGTAGGAAGCCACGATGCCATGAGCTACTGCCTGGACATAAACTCCCCGTTGGTCAGGGCTGAGTCGGACTGTTTCCGGCTCCTGGATGGAGTTTTTAGCTGCTTCACAAGGCCGGCCATTTTTAGATGGGCCACCACACAGGTAGGCACTGAAAATACAACCACTGCGCTGTCACTATGTCGGCAAAGGTGTGAGGACAACTGAGAAGTCAGTGCCGTGGGTGCTGAGACGAGACGGTCCAAAGTTAAACAGGTTCTTTGGTCTTCTTAATATACATATTTAAAAAAGTTGTTGGCTGCAGACAGAAAGACTGTAAGTTGATGATAGAAAGCAAACATGAGAAGAAATACACTCCACCATTTAAACACTCCACAGATTTGAGCTTTCACATATGTCATGTGATCCAGTGTTGCTGTACAAATATTGATTGTAGTACAAAATGCTGTTTATATGCCAAAAAAGTTCTTAACTACTCAGTGTGCTTTGTAAATGTATTTACAGACCAGGATCAGCAGCCAAGGTCTAAAAAAATCAGCTGAACTAATCGAGAAAAAAGAAAAAGTGCAGCGATACACTTTCACAGTTACTGCTGCTATAGGAAATAAAAGGCCTGGCAGGTGCGAGCTAATCAAATGAACTTTATTAACTGAGCATCAGCATGCGTGAGTGTCTCTGTAAAAGCAGAAGTTCTGACAGTTTCCTGGTCTGGAACATGCAGGTGTGTGTTGACAGATTATTCCCACATTAAAAACATGCAAAACAGCTGCCAACAGCTGGACATCCCTTCAAATTTCCGTCAGTGTCAAACTCTGCAACGTTCAGAGAAACTACAGAAAGCCCAAGAGCTGCATCTCACACTCAACAGGCCTCAGTTAGCATGTTAATCGTTGAAGTTCAGGATAACAAATGAGAAAAAGGCTGTTTGGGAGGAGAAACCTTCTCTCTTATAAGAATATGGCAAAGCTGCATCTGAACAAACCACAAGATTTCTGGATCAGCGTCATATTTGGTCACCATGCCAACTGTCAGGCACGGTGCTGGACATCTAGATAAAAAGAACTATTGATTAAAAATATATCATTTGTATCTAAACAAATGATAAATAGTTTAAACTGGTTATGATGTAGAAAATGAGTGTTAGATAAAGTACAGAAACAGGTAAGCTGGATGGAAGCATGTAGAGTAAACCGATATTAGTCGAAAACTTGTTTGCTCGCAAAAATGGGAGGTGGTGTTGATGACGAGGTCGTTGAATCCAGGACGTCTGATGTAAATGTTGAGATATCACTGAAACGCCTCCATCAAGAAATCATGTTGACCTCTTTCCTGTCAGGATAAAACCATCGAAGAGCAGCTTTCAATGGGGATTCGGTACTTTGACCTTCGTGTTGCACACAAACCAAACGACCCGTCCAGCGACTTGTACTTCACACACGTCATATACACTCATGTGACCGTACTGGTGAGTTTAGCACCTGACAGTTAGTGTTATTATCAAAAACAAATCACTACTGCACTTTTTTATTTCTGCTGCACCTAAATAGATCTCATTTCTATTGGATTATATTATTTTGAGATGCAACAGAAAGTCTTTTACACAATATCAGGATTTACCGGCTGGTACAGATTTTATCAGGCAAAAATTCAAATCTCCGTTTCTGCTGGAGTTCTTTGAACATCAGTTTATTTTGAGGTGGAGATTTCTACAAAGAGCTTAAAGGGTTCGGTTTACTTTTAAAAGCGTAAGTCCGGCTCTTCTGGTAGTTACAGTGAGTATCCTATTTAACAGGAAACACTCGAGTCTGTTGCTGCTTGGCTCGAGGCTCACCCGAAGGAGATCGTTATCCTCGCTTGCAGCCATTTTGAAGGAATGGATGACAAATGCCACGAATCATTCATTTGGTCCCTGAAGAGACTGTTTGGCTCTAAGCTGTGTCCCCAGAAGGTGAGCTCGTCTCTCTGCA